GGGGCCGGGCCGGGACCCCGGAGCGAGCGGGGTCCTCGCCAGCCCCGGCGCGCGCGAGGACAGCGGAGCGTTTCCACCAGCCCCGTGCACCCGGCTTTCCGCCGGGCCGAGGCCGCCTGCGCGCTCCGGAGCGCGCTTACCCGCGTCCCTATCCGGAGACGCCGCCGGTTCCCACGGCCGCTCCGGAATCCCTCTCCGCTCTCCACGTCCTGCCGGCCTCAGCTTTCCGGCCTGCTCCGGGCCGGGTCTGCGTCCCGTCCCAGAAAGCCAGCGGTGGGCACCCAGTGCAGCACAGAAGAGGTTCACACCCCCACCCCCCGGGGCCACAGGCTTATTAGCCTGGAAGCGTCACCCTTGCTGACTTGGGGATCAGTGGTACCTCGGCTTTGGAAGAGCTTGAGGACCTGACAGGGACGCTCTTCAACCTTAGCCCCATCTGGGCTCCCTCCTAGTGGGGCCCAGTGCTTGCTGCGGTGAAGTGGAAACTGTTTCTGGGGGAAATAGATACGCACGGCTTGCAGAATTAGCCCCTGACAGTCATCTGTTGCTAGGGTGAACGTAATACATTCCTGCAAGGAAACAAGAACTTCCTGTTACTAAAAGAGTTATCCTCAGACTTATTTGGTTCAGAAATGGTCATCTCTACAGCTTGTCAAGTTAAAAGAGGACAAGGCGGAACACTGTATTATAATACAATCTTGGCCATCGCCCTGCTTATACTCAATGATGCTTAATCCATTGAGTCCCCAGATTTCAGTAAGGCTAGAGAATGGGACCATTATTGTTATGACTGTATACTGATTTATTTCATCACACCAATAATGAAAAAGACAAAAATATCAGATTGAAATTTTTTCAGCTGATAGTGTGCTTTCTGCTACTGTACTTAGCTTGAGTAATCTTTCCTGTATTTGCAAGATCAATGAGCCTGGTCCTTTAGGAGCTATTTGGACAATGCATGTGGCTTGTCCACATTTTTTATGTATGTAGGCCACGGTTTTGCATGTCGTCTACTAAATTCAGAAGGGTAAGAAACTTGAGTTCCATTTCTGGATCTGCTTCCTCTTGGCCTTGGAATCATTATTTCCTTTTTCCAATTTTCTGATTTGCAAAGGAGGAATGGTACCCACCTTTTCCTTTCTTTCTTTTTTTTTTTTTTTTTTTGGCCTAGGTATGGGCTGGTAAACTTTTTCTATAGAGCCTGAGCAACAAATAGTTTTTGCTTGGCAGGCCATAGTCACTGTCTCAGCTACAGTACTTACCTCTGACGCCTAGCTAAGTCAGCAGATGATACAGAAAGGAATGGATGTAGCAGGTTTGGCCTATGGCCTATAGGTTTTAATTTTAATATAAAACCCAACATAAAATATTACATGCAAATGCCACTTTAAGCCAAAAATCCACTGCCCTTACAGACATGAGCAGTAATCATTTCAGTAGCGATTTTTTTTAAACAGACATGTAAACTGCCCATTTTCTCCCCCTCCCAGGACTTTTAGAGTAATGCAACAGAAGGCTTTTGAGGAAAGCAGATATCCCTGGCAGGAGTCCTTCGAAAATGTTGCTGTGTGCCTGCCATTCCGCTGCCCGAGGTGTGGAGACCGTACTAGATTTAGAAGCTTGTCATCCTTGAGGGCCCATCTGGAATTCAGTCACAGCTATGAAGAAAGAACCCTGTTGACAAAATGCAGCCTCTTTCCGTCCCTCAAAGACACAGATGTGGTCCCTTCCTCAGGACTTCTGAAGCAGGGGAAACTGCAGGGCCACGGCCATGTGGTCAAACAGAAGCCAAGTTATGTTAACTTGTACAGCATTTCTCATGAACACTACAAGGACCAGAAGCCATTGGAGGTGGTGGCAGAGAGGCCTGCGTCCTATGTGCAGACCTACACGGCCATGGACATACGTGCAGACTCGCTGGATGGGCCACGGTCAAGTCCTGGACTTCCCACCTCCGACACCAAAGCTGCTTTCGAGGCACATGTCAGAGAGAAGTTCAATCAGATGGTTGAAGCTGTGGATAGGACCATCGAGAAGAGAATCGATAAACTCACCAAAGAGTTGGCCCAGAAAACCGCAGAACTGTTGGAAGTTCGGGCAGCTTTTGTGCAGCTGACTCAGAAGAAGCAGGAAGTTCAGAGACGAGAGCGAGCCCTGAACAGGCAGGTGGACGTGGCCGTGGAAATGATCGCTGCACTGAGGCAGCGCCTGACCGAGTCGGAGGAGGAGCTTCTTAGGAAAGAAGAGTAAGTGGTCCCAAAACAGGCACGTTGCTTAGGAACCCCTGCCCCGTGTTACAGGAAATGTCAAGCAAGTTTGGTTTTTATGATTTATAGGTGTTTGGGCTGCATTTCTCCGTAATGTAGTTGAATCAGAAGGCACAAGGCTTTGATATTATTTACTTTCTCTAGCAGTGTCAGCATTCCAGCAATACTGATGTCAAAATATCTTAACTCCTTGTTACCTTGGAAATTGTAAACAACATACAGTGTTCTTAGTGAGAAAATTACTCCATCCATGGTGGAGTCCGTGGTGTACAAGCTTGAATTGGATGGGAAGGCAGGAAAGGCATTCTGGGAAAGTCCATTCTCCTGACTGTCTCTGCAGTATATAGTATTCAGGAACACAAGATGCCCTCTTATTCCAGTGTACAAATATGCTCCAAATGCAAGTGATTTTGGCTTATTCACCATTTTGGATGATCAGACCATATTAATGAGATATCAGTAGTTGAGAATCTAATTATAATTTGTACTTGGAAGGAGACCCAGAGGAGAGGAGATACTTTCTGATATAGTTGTACTGCTGTGGTTTGAGAATTTTCTTCAAGTCTTGACTGCTTACAAAGACTTGCACTGGATTCAAAAATCATAGGGGATCATAGAAGCTATTATTTGGATAATCATTGTACTGTACTTGAAGTGTTTACTTATCAGTAAGTATGGATTTAACTCAAACTGAGAAAGAATACAGAATTCAGTGTATTTCCTAAGTGCAGAATGTCAGATTTCACTTCATATGGAGCTCAGAATAGACAGAATCAAAGGAATAAGCATCAGTAGAGTAAAATATCCTAGAAGATAGGATTCCAAATTATTTGAGTGCCATTCTAGAGAGTGATTTAATTTCATCCGTTTTTTTGCCTGCTGGCACTTTTCTATCCTGTGTTCTCTTTTAAAAAGTAATATTTAAATCTTCAGAAACTCTGTATCAGTGGTGGTGAACCTTACGGCACGCGTGCAGCAGCGATCTGTTTATATCATTGAAAGCCCTAAAAGGTTCTCCACCACTGCCCTATAAAGAGATTGTTACTTTAGTTAAGTATTTTTATCCTATCTTGAAAGGAAGCCTAGACGTTTTTTGTTTATACTGGGCATTTTTTTAAATTATGTAGTCAGGATGAATTTGAATCAGCTATTAATTTTTTTCTTCCAGGGGAATGATTTCTAATGAAAGAAGCTTTTTTGTTTTTGGCTTCTGGTATTTCTTGGTGGGGAGTTAGTGTTCTGACCTGTTATGAGCACCAAGGTGACCCATGCTGCAGGGCTGCGAAAATGGAAGATGGGTTGCCCTATGTGTAGAGAAAAGTCTAGAATTAACTTTATAATATTTATGTTTTATTCAAGAATGGTGAGTTTAAAAGCCCACCACGTTAATGTCTTACATTTATTTATTTTTGTATTTGTTTTACTTATAATATTTATGTACATATTTTTGTAATACTGACAGTTGAACCAGGGCCTTTGCACTGAGCTGTAGCCCCAGCCCTTTAAAAAATTTTATTAATATTTATTCTGTTTGTTTACTTTGCAGTACTAAAGATTGAATCCAGTGCCTTTATACTATAATACACTCCCAGCTTTTAAAAAGATACATTTTTTTATGACAGGGTCTTGCTAAGTTGCCCAGGCTGGGTTGAATTTGCTAGCCTTCTGCCTCTTCCTCTCAGTATTTGATTTTTTTTAAAGAGGAAAAAAAATAACAAAACAACAGCAAAGACAAAAATAAAGCAACACAAAAACAATAAAAATGACACAGAATTTCAAAACAAAATGATAGGAAATTGGGGCTGGGGATTTAGCTCAGCGGCAAAAGCACCTGCCTAGCATGCGCAAGGTCGTGAGTTCGGTTCCTGGTACCGGAGAAAAACCAAAAAAAAAAAAAAAAAAAAAAAAACAAAATGATAGGAAATTAACAATGGTTGTTATCTTTAACAAAGTTGCTCAGACTACCATATGTAAGAATGCAAGATTGGTCAAACCATTAAAGAGAATAAAAAATAATGAAATGAAACATTAGAAACGATACAGAGCTTCACTAGACAAGGTGGTAGGAATTCAACAATGGTTGTTATATTGCATATTGTCTTCAAATTAGTTGTTCGGGTTACCAGATATAAGCGAGCAAAATTGGCCAAAAATAAAGAATTAAAAAATAAAAAAGTAAAAAAAATCACAAAATAAAAAAATTTAAGCATTAACTCTTCCTTTCTTTTTTTTTTTTTTTTTTTTTTTTTTTTTTTTTTTTTTTTTTTTTGGTTTTTTCTCCGGTACCGAGAACCGAACTCACGACCTTGCGCTTGCCAGGCAGGTGCTTTTGCCGCTGAGCTAAATCCCCAGCCCCAACTCTTCCTTTCAATAAGTATTTATTAATTATACAGCTAATGATGAATGTAGGATTTGGGGTGGTAGCTGTCTGGAGTGTGGGAAGACAGGATAATAGAGGGCAGGCATGGTTAGATACAGGTGATTGTCAGTGATCAAGAATTTGTTTGGGATAGTGGATTTACAGTTCCTTTTCTTTGAATTAAAAATACCTAATTAAAAGTGGTCCATGCATAGACCAATAACGATACTGTGTTATGGATAATCCAAGACTCACGTGAGTACTAAATGAAAAACATATACCTATAAAAACTATTTAACAAGACAGATTTGTACATGTTAAACATATTCCTCCTTTCTAAGCATACTCTACTCCATTCTTAGGGGACAGTTGCATTAGGTTTAATAACCATCCCTCTAGAACTTTCCTGTGTGCATACAGCCATGTATGAATTGTACACACAGAATTGCTGTGTTTTCCCAAACGGAATCATAACACATACTATTCTACCCCTTGTACTTGGAATTTCTTTTAACGTAATATGTCTCAGGCATCTTTTGTGTACCAAACACAGAATGATACCATTTCTTTTGAATACTCTGTGATATTTCATGGTATGGATGCATCATAAATTGATTCAGCCAGCTTGATATTGATAAATATATAGTTTTGTTCTATTTTCTAATACTGAAAATGGTGCTTCCGTTACTCTTTTTGTACAACTTTGTGTATACCTTTGTGAGCATACCCAATGGTAAACTACGTTTCTGTGTTTTTGGTGCTGGGGATCCAACCCAGGACCTCATGCATGCTAAGCGCACACTCTCTCCCACCAAGCTATACTCCCAACGCAAGGTGATTTTCGGTGTTTAATTTTCGAACTAAGAGAAAAAAGCAATAATTTTTTTTTTTAAAGTGCATGGGCTATTTTTGTCCAAATTACCTTAAGCTTTTCAATATAAACTAAACAAAGTATTCATTTTTTTTGAAAGCCTTCATTGTCAGTTTCTGTATTCAGGCCTCAAATAATCACTCTCTCTGTGTATAGAATGGGACTGAAAGAGTCTTGTTTTCAAGGAAAGACACTGGAGCTCTTGGTCTTGGAGGGTGGCGCGGGACAGCACTCTCAGTGTCTGCAGTGCCTGGCCTGGCGCCTCCTCCCCTGCCATCTGAATGGGGGTGCAGAGCCAGCTGCCCATCTGCCGCCGTCTGCATACCAGGTTGATTTGGCTGGATGCACCTGGCTAGGCCCTTCCCTCCTTACCACTGCCTCAGAGGTTGTACCATCCATGGACGGGACACCTTTCGAATAGGGAAGGCTCCCTTTGGCTAAGGAACATACCAGAAGCTGGGCTCCCTTGCTGAACACCTCTGGGGCCATTGTAAAAGAAAGGAGATTGTCACTGTCCCATCTGAAATTGACTTAAACTTGTGGACCCATTTGAAACACAGATGGTAGAAGTGGTTCAAAAAGATGCAAACACTTAGTATTTAGCATTCACGTAAGGCTTTCTTGCCTATGAACTTTCCCCTCAAGTTTAAAAATTCTTTCTTTCAAACTGAAATAAAAGACTTCAGGACTGCATCTGCCCTGAGGCCTGGTACAGGTTGAATCAGCTTGGTTTATAGAGTCATATGCATATATTCTGTAACTGAGAAGCCCATTTGAATTGCAGTATTTTGTATTTTGGTACCAGTAAGTCTCCTGTACCTCCATAGAGAGGTATCCTTCGATTTTTGGAGTGCAGATCCCAGAAAAAAGCTGCTCATTGTACAAAGCCAGTGTAACTTTAAAAGTCCTACTGAAACAGGTATTTACTTATTGACGAGTCAGGGCTGTTGCATAGCACGTTCGTATCAGGTGAATCGATCCTGGCCACCGTACAGTAAGATATCCTTGAACAAGAAAGCTTGGGTTTAGATGGTAGCTGAGTTAATCTCTTGAGGTTTGGAGGAATTGAAGGCAGTAACAGAATCCCACATTTACTTACACGTTCTGCCAGCCAGCGTGGAAAAGGCCGGTGGAGTACCTGCGATGTGCGGCACCTCGCTGGAGAGGGGTTTGGGAACATCAGATCCTTGGTGTTTTCCCTGAGGTGCTTATGCTCTGTGTAGTAAGAAGGAAGGACACCTCTGAACCAGGCCTGTGTCCAAGCGCAGGGTTGTTTAAGCTGTGCTTAAAGGCAAGGCCCTGTTTCAAGTTGGTAACACTTGAGAACTGATCCTTCTATGGGAGAGACCTCACTGAGGGAAGAAGGAAGAAGGGCGAATTTTCAAACAGGGCCACAAGACTGACCTTGGGGGAGCCCCTGGGCCCTCTGAGACAGCCCCGAGTGGGCCCTGCGATCTCTGATTGTAGAGGTGGCAGGTACACTCCGTCCTGCAGGAGGGCACATTCATCTCAGAGATGCAGGAAGTCAGGCCCAGAGCATGGAATGACTTGCCCAAGGACATAGGTTTAGTAGCAGAGCTGAAGCTGCAAACCCATTTTCCTGTCTCTGTGCTGAGGGTTGTTTCCATCAGTTCTCCATGACCTAGCCAGGCTTCTGGAAAATGTGGTATTTGCCTGAAGCACCAAGACTTACGTAATATTGCATGTGGCCCATTTTGGAAGAGGCTTGCTTCTTTGCTATTTTAAGAA